AACAAAACATACAAGCTAACAAGAAATTCTCAGATACTTACTACTGTCTTTCATCTACCACTGCCTCCTGAAAGATCCTGGGTCTGAGTCTCAGCCAGTCCATGGAGACCTTGACTGCAGGAAGGGGATAGGTGCTGTAGGTCTCCTCCTGAGACTTGTTCTGGAGAGGACACTTGCACAGGATGCCAAGAAAAGACACTTAAAGAAAAAGTGTATTCAGAAAGCATAAGATACTTGAAACTTTGAACCAGTCCAAATTAAAAGTATCATGAGCTTTCTGCTGTATCCTACTTAGCTTACAGCTTCTTTCTAAAAAAGGCATTTGCTTTCCCATGTTAAAATGTTAAAGATACAGTTGATGAGGGGGTGTCAGCAGATAAAAGGAGAAATAAAAGGAGAGACCTAGGGTTGAGACCTCCCATGTCAATATTAAGAAACAGAGGACACATTTTTATGTCACTAATCATTTGTTACAATGATGAAGATGCCTAAGTATGCTTTCCAAAGAAAATGGCACAGGAAGTTAAATGATTTAATACTCACTAAAGAGGGCCAGTAACTGTGTCCAACACAACTGTTCATCTTGGTTATAACTATGCTGCTCTGTTTCATTGCTAAAGTCACGAAGGTGATGAAGTTGAAACAGGTTAATGACAGTGACGTGAACTAACTGCTGAGAGTTGAAAGCTTTTTGGAATAACAGCCTCTGTAAAAGAAGACAGGAATACTACATACATTATCTACAACAGGAACCATCTTCAAGATGAAACTGGCAGTCTGCATATAGAGCCACAGGCCTAACAGTAGAGTTACAGATGAGTAAACTGTTCCAGTCTTACTCCCAGTATCTTATTTCTAGCCTGATGTTTCTCCTGCTGACTCTCTGGCCTTGCAAGGAATTAACCCAGATACCATGGAGTTGTTTAAGCTGTTTCTTACAATATTTTTTTTTTTCCCTGAGAAACTATATATATTTTTTATATGACCTGAGAAAAAAGTTTTGGGGGAGTCCATCAGTAAATGTATACATCCTAATCCATTAGTAGTTGTTTTGTAAGAGGTGCATACACACTAAAATATTAAATTTGAGCCAATGAGTAGAAAGATGCACATAGTGAAGAGCAAATTTCAAACAAAAAGACTGAAAAATATGTTTTTCAACTCTTGTTATTTAAAGTATGACTTCCAAATTTGTCATAAAATTTACTCTTTCAAAAGCCTACCACATTTAAAGAAACTTATTCATAAACAAGGTATATATCAAGAACACACTCTGAAACACAGGGTGATAGACTAAAACACTTCTACAAACTATTACACTGACATTTTCCCCTATTAGCTAAGTACATGCATCATCAAACTTTCTTTTACCTAATAACTATGTGTTCACAGCAACCAGCTATAGGGAAAAATTCACCTACAGACTCTCAGCTGGTGGCCTCAACTTAACCACCCTTCTACCTGAATATCTGCAGAAGCTTTAAATTATTCATACAAAAAATATTTTTCAAAGGCAAGTTCCTATCAAAGTTGATAGCTACTAGAGATGACACACTGATTTCACCCTACACATCAGCCATAGCCATCTTCCCTTCCTCCCCAGGGAACATTTTTGGAAACAGCAAGGGGTTCACTGTCACTAGCCTTACAGTGGGCAAGAACCTTACTTCCAGTTCTACCAGCTGTGACAAGAGATCCTACCATCTTAGAAATTTAGAGCTGCCTTTGTCCAGTCTATTGAGGTTTTTTTTTTTTCCTATTTAAATCAAGAATCTGAAATATCCAGAATAAGCTCTATGATTCTGTTACCAAGATCTTTCATACTATCATTGGAGGAAATCACAATTCCATTCCACTTTACTCTTCCTCATATCTCTCAATCTCCTTGCCATCTGCCATTCCAGTATATACATCTAGAATGCTGACTCCTTTTCCAAGGGCTTTTTCTTTCTTCAAAATGTCCTGAAATCCTATCTTTTCTCCAGAATTCTCCCAAACTACTTCTTTTATATCTACATCCAACTTCTAGATAAGCTGACCATTTATACAAATGCATGATACTGTCATAAAATGAGAATACTAATTTGTGTTTTATAAAAAGCATTTTTCATAAGTATAATATAGCAATGTATCCCTTGTATCTATAAATCCACTGTCTTATTTTAGAAGATTTCTAGTGTATGCACAGAAGCATTAATGTATGAGTGCAGCCTAGTACTAGCAAAAGTTCATGAAGGTAAAGATTTTGTCTTATTCTCCCCTGTTGTCTCCCAGAGCCTAGAAAGTACATGGTCCAGAGGAAGATACTCAACAAACACTTACAGAAGGAATAACCCAGACCTTTAGAATGTGCAATTAATTATTCAGTTGTAATTCTGTAAAATTTAGGTAGTAAGTAGAGGGCTACTTTTTTGGTTACTCAAGGACACTTTCAACAGCAGTTGAGGAATATACTGAACTAAATACCATTAGGAAACAGCACATATTTAACATAAAAAAAGCCTTCCATCTCATTGCCTAAATTCCAGGCGTTAAATCCTTCAATGAGCCTAAACTTGGTAAATATTTTTGCTTAGTAGCTAAAGATTTCTAGTTAGACATGACACACTGAAGATTACATGTAGACGATACTAACTATCTACATATGCTTTAGAAATACTTCTGAATTATTTACTCAACTATGCTAAAATCTCACTTCAACAATGTTCTTCTGATGTTTCACTATTGGGTAAGTTTTAAAATAGATCTGCCTCATACCAAGTTTAAACTTCAGAGCATTGAAATGGTACTTCAAAGTGGTTTTAGCAATTGTCCACATACACCCAATAAGAACCTCACATACACAAATACATACCTAAAGAGAACATTAGTGTCTGAGGTTGAACCAAATGCAAAATTGACTAAATTCTAGACTAGAATAATTTACATACAGAAGACCTCATTAGGGAAGGTTCCCCTTCCCTCCCCATCTAGGGAGTATATCTTTCATAGAACCAGAGATAGAAGCAATCTCAAGAGGTCACCTGTTCCAAGCCCCTGCTATTAAATAGGACTGCATCTAAACCATCCAAAAAAGATGGCTGTCAATCTCACTTTTAAGGTCTCAAAAGAGAGGACAGAGTCCTCAGCAACCCCTTAATAGATTTTTACTTAAAATTTTAAGATTTAATTTTAATTCTGACCTCAGGAAAGACAAAGATGTATTATTTTATCATAATCCTCCACATATCTGAAAACTTATAATTAAATTGTATAAACTTCTTTGTTCTTTCCAAGCTGAACAGCCTTGTGCATTAAAAAGTTAGCTGTTCCTTTCATGTACCCATCTCTATATATAATCATGGATCATAAGAGAAACAAAACAGCACAGGGCTCTAGAAGCTTATTTTAAAACAAATTATTTCTACTATAGTTATTTAGTATAATCTCTTGCCAATAAAAAGTATCAACTGAGAAATGATTATCTGTTAAAAACTATTTCACACTGACTATATTTGGCTAATTTATGTCTCTGAATTGTCAAAGTTCTACAATCTCTAGATAGGAAACTTTTATAATACTTACAGAACTGTAAAACAATTAAGTATATAAATACCAAAAGTAATGAAGAAATGTAAAGTGTTCTTTGAGACTATCTTATTTACTACTGTAGATCCCAAAACAGTGACAAACAACAAAGGTTTGCTGAATAAATGAATTAAAAATAGTTAATACTTAATTTTGACTCCTCCAATATTTTATAAATTACATTGTATATTTTATATATTTATGTCATATATATATATTTTATGTATGTCATATATAAATATCTACTATATTTTATACATTTGTCATATGTATTTTTATAAAAAAACATAATACACTAATACCAAACCATTTTCATATATATAAATAGAACAAAGGCTACTTAATGTTATCTACTTACACAAACTAGTAAAATGCATTCTTGTTGAATGAAATTCTTAATTCTTTTCCTTTAAGCTAGCTCAAATCCTGAAGAATCAAAATCAAAGTACAGTAAGAACAGTGAGCTCAGTTTGCAGAATGGAATTATCTATAAAGTAGGTAACAGAATCATATCTAAGAATATAGTACCCATCAAAAGTATACTTTCAAAATGAAGAAAGAAAGAAAGGTGCTTGGTCTGAGAAGGAAGGAAGGAGTTGCTTTTTTTCTACTTTGATACTTTCTGCCGAATGGCAGCCAGTCTGTGAAAATATTGCTGTTGTTTCTTTATACGGACAGTACACCTTGGTTTAAACTGAGGGGATGCTGTTTGTAAGAATTCTATATGCTTCCAATTTAACCAACAGTTCACAGTAATGACATAAAAACGAGATACGGGTAGCATCCTCCAAATCTTGTACTTCCTGATTAAGATAAAACATCTTCTGTTTTTGAAATCTAACCTTAAACTGTTCTTCCAATTTCTCTCGAAGAGGGCTCAACTTTTCCAAGCTCTTACTCAGGTACACATGACCGTGGAATTTAATAAAGGCCTTGATGAAGTCAGAAACACCCCATTTGGTTTTCACCTCATCCCGGCTGAAATGAAAGAAGAACTTCATGAATCTTAAGCAGCAAAATGGCTAAAACCTCTTAAAGGAGGTTTTGGTTTGCAAACACATTATTTTAGCACCTGGTACACAAGGAGAGAATTCTGCACCTGACTAGATTTTTAACTGCAACACACTCAGATCAGTATTCAGCAGGCTGTACTTCTCTACTAGGGACAAATCAGATGCCGACTGGTCAAAATTCAGCTACAACTACACAAAAAGCTATTACAATATCTCTGTATGTTTAGAAATGAGGCAGATATTAATGAGATGCATAGGTAACTGTTCCTAGTGCGCCCAAAGTTCAGGGGTGAAGGCTACCAGGTTATGTCAAGTCTTGGAAAAGCCAACCCTACCTTTCCAGTGCTTTAGAAAGTGCCTTTTGTAGATTAGTGGAGGCAGCTGGGAAAGGGAACTTCACAGCAATGCTTCTGCAGTAGTAGAAAATTGTGGTCAGATGGTCTCCTTTGGAAGAGGCTAAGATAGCCAACTGATTATAAGGCTGGCCTAGAGGAGGAAAGTTAAGATTGCAAAGTAACCCAAGGTGAACAAGTCTTGCTATCAGTATACAGATGATCAGTTTTTAAACCTTTACATTAATAATGGGGAGTATTTAATAAAGTACATCTTATGACTGCCTCATTACAGTTGGCATAATGTAAAGCAGCACATGTCAGAGACAGTACATACTCGGTTTAGGTTAACAAGTCATATAATTAGAGCAGAGAGCACTCTATGCTCAAATAAGACTTCACAAAGGGCTAGAGAGCAAATATTTTTGGCTTCGTTGGCCAAAGTGTCTCTGTCACAACTACTCAACTCTGCAACTGTAGTGGGGAAGCAGCCACAGACAACATGAAACAGTGGGCCCCACTGCCGCCCTGCCTGAGACCCTTTCAAGGGGCGTCTTTGATAATCTAAAGATACTCCAGTGTGTGTAACAGGAATGACTAACATCACCAAATATTTGCTATAATTGCCTTAATTCAAGAATCACTGATAATGCCTATTTTGGGGCCATCATAAGAAGACAAAAGTACTATCTTTTAGGCAATAAGAGATCATTTTTCTAGGAGGGAAGTAGTGGTATTACAGAGATAATTATTCTTCAAGTAATAAAGGAAGCCAAAGTAACTATTTTAGATCACATTAGGGGATATTCTATTTATATTGCTTTACTGGCAACAGTAATCTTATTTTGAAAAATTCACTCCCAGTTATACAGAATGTACAGTTAAAAGGAAAAATATGACAACCAACACCAAAACTCACCATCTTTCGCTTTTATAAAACTTGAAAAATGAGCCTTGAGCTACTTTCCAGTTTACTGTAAAGAATAAACTATCAGGGCCAACCTTAAGTTGACACGAGAGGCCCACTCACCATTAGAGGGGACAAGCTGAGCTGCATGCCTATAGTAGGACTCTGCCTGGCTGGTCTGGTTTCTGTAGCGAGCTGAGGGGAAGAAAAAAAAAATTTAGTTTAAAAACAAATAAAACAACCAGTAGGGGAATATTTCCATAACAACTATTGTTGTAATTCTAAAGATAATAAACACATTAAAATTAATTTAAGGTCATTAAAAATAGAAAATACTTTAAAGCAAATTAACTATAGGATTATGTGTGAATTGTCCACCTGGCCTTCCCTACTTGGGACATTCAGCATGTAACCGATTTTAAAGCTTACCTAGCCCCCATTTTCAGGTCCTCCAGTGTCATCGTCACCAGCTCCCACTATGGACTATGCTGGTGACCTGGAGCCGGCCCACAAGAAGGGGTGAGTTATAAGGCACTTAAAAACAAAACAAAACAAAAAACACTATACAATATGATCTTGAAATTATGTATTTTTTCAGTATCCTATAGAGATTTTGAATAATGCCTCATACCTATTGAAATATTAAGTATGTGTGTGCAAAGAAAACACTGAAAGCCCAAACAACCTAAATACACTATTTTTTTAATCTCCCTGCAGAATTTGGTGCTTCTCTGATGTGTCCCTCATGGAGATAATGAGTTTACAACATCAAGAAATCTAAAATCTTTTAACTTAAAGAAATAATGTTCTCCATTCCTTGTTACTTGAGGACAGTTAAAACATAATCCTGTAGTTAATTTGTTTCACAACCTTTTTAGGTCACTTAGAGGAATGAACAAGAATAAATAAGTTAAATGACATTCCCAGATAAAATATATAAAATGGAAATACAAATTTAACCATAAAAGAAAACAATTAAAAATGAGCCTTTAATGCACTGGGAGGAAGGAAAAGGTGACAATCTAGCTTCAGGAATACAAAAAATATTTTTCAAAGGCAAGTTCCTATCAAAGTTGATAGCTACTAGAGATGACACACTGATTTCACCCTACACATCAGCCATAGCCATCTTCCCTTCCTCCCCAGGGAACATTTTTGGAAACAGCAAGGGGTTCACTGTCACTAGCCTTACAGTGGGCAAGAACCTTACTTCCAGTTCTACCAGCTGTGACAAGAGATCCTACCATCTTAGAAATTTAGAGCTGCCTTTGTCCAGTCTATTGAGGTTTTTTTTTTTTCCTATTTAAATCAAGAATCTGAAATATCCAGAATAAGCTCTATGATTCTGTTACCAAGATCTTTCATACTATCATTGGAGGAAATCACAATTCCATTCCACTTTACTCTTCCTCATATCTCTCAATCTCCTTGCCATCTGCCATTCCAGTATATACATCTAGAATGCTGACTCCTTTTCCAAGGGCTTTTTCTTTCTTCAAAATGTCCTGAAATCCTATCTTTTCTCCAGAATTCTCCCAAACTACTTCTTTTATATCTACATCCAACTTCTAGATAAGCTGACCATTTATACAAATGCATGATACTGTCATAAAATGAGAATACTAATTTGTGTTTTATAAAAAGCATTTTTCATAAGTATAATATAGCAATGTATCCCTTGTATCTATAAATCCACTGTCTTATTTTAGAAGATTTCTAGTGTATGCACAGAAGCATTAATGTATGAGTGCAGCCTAGTACTAGCAAAAGTTCATGAAGGTAAAGATTTTGTCTTATTCTCCCCTGTTGTCTCCCAGAGCCTAGAAAGTACATGGTCCAGAGGAAGATACTCAACAAACACTTACAGAAGGAATAACCCAGACCTTTAGAATGTGCAATTAATTATTCAGTTGTAATTCTGTAAAATTTAGGTAGTAAGTAGAGGGCTACTTTTTTGGTTACTCAAGGACACTTTCAACAGCAGTTGAGGAATATACTGAACTAAATACCATTAGGAAACAGCACATATTTAACATAAAAAAAGCCTTCCATCTCATTGCCTAAATTCCAGGCGTTAAATCCTTCAATGAGCCTAAACTTGGTAAATATTTTTGCTTAGTAGCTAAAGATTTCTAGTTAGACATGACACACTGAAGATTACATGTAGACGATACTAACTATCTACATATGCTTTAGAAATACTTCTGAATTATTTACTCAACTATGCTAAAATCTCACTTCAACAATGTTCTTCTGATGTTTCACTATTGGGTAAGTTTTAAAATAGATCTGCCTCATACCAAGTTTAAACTTCAGAGCATTGAAATGGTACTTCAAAGTGGTTTTAGCAATTGTCCACATACACCCAATAAGAACCTCACATACACAAATACATACCTAAAGAGAACATTAGTGTCTGAGGTTGAACCAAATGCAAAATTGACTAAATTCTAGACTAGAATAATTTACATACAGAAGACCTCATTAGGGCAGGTTCCCCTTCCCTCCCCATCTAGGGAGTATATCTTTCATAGAACCAGAGATAGAAGCAATCTCAAGGGGTCACCTGTTCCAAGCCCCTGCTATTAAATAGGACTGCATCTAAACCATCCAAAAAAGATGGCTGTCAATCTCACTTTTAAGGTCTCAAAAGAGAGGACAGAATCCTCAGCAACCCCTTAATAGATTTTTACTTAAAATTTTAAGATTTAATTTTAATTCTGACCTCAGGAAAGACAAAGATGTATTATTTTATCATAATCCTCCACATATCTGAAAACTTATAATTAAATTGTATAAACTTCTTTGTTCTTTCCAAGCTGAACAGCCTTGTGCATTAAAAAGTTAGCTGTTCCTTTCATGTACCCATCTCTATATATAATCATGGATCATAAGAGAAACAAAACAGCACAGGGCTCTAGAAGCTTATTTTAAAACAAATTATTTCTACTATAGTTATTTAGTATAATCTCTTGCCAATAAAAAGTATCAACTGAGAAATGATTATCTGTTAAAAACTATTTCACACTGACTATATTTGGCTAATTTATGTCTCTGAATTGTCAAAGTTCTACAATCTCTAGATAGGAAACTTTTATAATACTTACAGAACTGTAAAACAATTAAGTATATAAATACCAAAAGTAATGAAGAAATGTAAAGTGTTCTTTGAGACTATCTTATTTACTACTGTAGATCCCAAAACAGTGACAAACAACAAAGGTTTGCTGAATAAATGAATTAAAAATAGTTAATACTTAATTTTGACTCCTCCAATATTTTATAAATTACATTGTATATTTTATATATTTATGTCATATATATATATTTTATGTATGTCATATATAAATATCTACTATATTTTATACATTTGTCATATGTATTTTTATAAAAAAACATAATACACTAATACCAAACCATTTTCATATATATAAATAGAACAAAGGCTACTTAATGTTATCTACTTACACAAACTAGTAAAATGCATTCTTGTTGAATGAAATTCTTAATTCTTTTCCTTTAAGCTAGCTCAAATCCTGAAGAATCAAAATCAAAGTACAGTAAGAACAGTGAGCTCAGTTTGCAGAATGGAATTATCTATAAAGTAGGTAACAGAATCATATCTAAGAATATAGTACCCATCAAAAGTATACTTTCAAAATGAAGAAAGAAAGAAAGGTGCTTGGTCTGAGAAGGAAGGAAGGAGTTGCTTTTTTTCTACTTTGATACTTTCTGCCGAATGGCAGCCAGTCTGTGAAAATATTGCTGTTGTTTCTTTATACGGACAGTACACCTTGGTTTAAACTGAGGGGATGCTGTTTGTAAGAATTCTATATGCTTCCAATTTAACCAACAGTTCACAGTAATGACATAAAAACGAGATACGGGTAGCATCCTCCAAATCTTGTACTTCCTGATTAAGATAAAACATCTTCTGTTTTTGAAATCTAACCTTAAACTGTTCTTCCAATTTCTCTCGAAGAGGGCTCAACTTTTCCAAGCTCTTACTCAGGTACACATGACCGTGGAATTTAATAAAGGCCTTGATGAAGTCAGAAACACCCCATTTGGTTTTCACCTCATCCCGGCTGAAATGAAAGAAGAACTTCATGAATCTTAAGCAGCAAAATGGCTAAAACCTCTTAAAGGAGGTTTTGGTTTGCAAACACATTATTTTAGCACCTGGTACACAAGGAGAGAATTCTGCACCTGACTAGATTTTTAACTGCAACACACTCAGATCAGTATTCAGCAGGCTGTACTTCTCTACTAGGGACAAATCAGATGCCGACTGGTCAAAATTCAGCTACAACTACACAAAAAGCTATTACAATATCTCTGTATGTTTAGAAATGAGGCAGATATTAATGAGATGCATAGGTAACTGTTCCTAGTGCGCCCAAAGTTCAGGGGTGAAGGCTACCAGGTTATGTCAAGTCTTGGAAAAGCCAACCCTACCTTTCCAGTGCTTTAGAAAGTGCCTTTTGTAGATTAGTGGAGGCAGCTGGGAAAGGGAACTTCACAGCAATGCTTCTGCAGTAGTAGAAAATTGTGGTCAGATGGTCTCCTTTGGAAGAGGCTAAGATAGCCAACTGATTATAAGGCTGGCCTAGAGGAGGAAAGTTAAGATTGCAAAGTAACCCAAGGTGAACAAGTCTTGCTATCAGTATACAGATGATCAGTTTTTAAACCTTTACATTAATAATGGGGAGTATTTAATAAAGTACATCTTATGACTGCCTCATTACAGTTGGCATAATGTAAAGCAGCACATGTCAGAGACAGTACATACTCGGTTTAGGTTAACAAGTCATATAATTAGAGCAGAGAGCACTCTATGCTCAAATAAGACTTCACAAAGGGCTAGAGAGCAAATATTTTTGGCTTCGTTGGCCAAAGTGTCTCTGTCACAACTACTCAACTCTGCAACTGTAGTGGGGAAGCAGCCACAGACAACATGAAACAGTGGGCCCCACTGCCGCCCTGCCTGAGACCCTTTCAAGGGGCGTCTTTGATAATCTAAAGATACTCCAGTGTGTGTAACAGGAATGACTAACATCACCAAATATTTGCTATAATTGCCTTAATTCAAGAATCACTGATAATGCCTATTTTGGGGCCATCATAAGAAGACAAAAGTACTATCTTTTAGGCAATAAGAGATCATTTTTCTAGGAGGGAAGTAGTGGTATTACAGAGATAATTATTCTTCAAGTAATAAAGGAAGCCAAAGTAACTATTTTAGATCACATTAGGGGATATTCTATTTATATTGCTTTACTGGCAACAGTAATCTTATTTTGAAAAATTCACTCCCAGTTATACAGAATGTACAGTTAAAAGGAAAAATATGACAACCAACACCAAAACTCACCATCTTTCGCTTTTATAAAACTTGAAAAATGAGCCTTGAGCTACTTTCCAGTTTACTGTAAAGAATAAACTATCAGGGCCAACCTTAAGTTGACACGAGAGGCCCACTCACCATTAGAGGGGACAAGCTGAGCTGCATGCCTATAGTAGGACTCTGCCTGG